TTAGAAATAAATTGTCACCGCATTCATCCAACGGACGTAAAGAACCGAGTGCCCAGCACCGTGAGCATGTTTTTATATATGAGCTATAAGTACCATAGCCATAGCCTTGTTGGACAATGCTAAATGAAGTTAACTTATTCCAGAAATGAATATTATCACCTCTAATATATTTACAACTTTATTATAGCTAAAACATTATATAATAAAAATAAAATTGTAAGCTATTTGAGAAAAATATATAGTTTGATGTGAATAAAACATATTAAAACTGGTCAAGTTTGAGCGAGTACTAGTCATGCCTACCCCGCCCTGCCTACGTACATCACATGTGATACTCATCCGTAAGAAAATAGAATAGAATAATTTTTTTCTATATGGTAGGTAAAACTAGGGATGGCAAAAGTAACCGTAATCGTGGATATCCGCCCGAATCCGACCTAATCGAGTAGGGTAAAACCCGAAATCGAAGGACTTTTAGTGGTACGTGTAAAATCTGAACCCAAATATTGCGGGTAATGGGTGGGCATGGGTTTCTCACTATCCAACCCGAACCCGCCCGATTATACACATGCATATATATTTTGTCTAGAAATAATTATTATTTTTATCTAACATATTTTATATTTAGCATATAATATAATATTTTTATAAAATTGCGTTGTTTTAATTAATTTTCTTCATTCTAGTGAATTATTGTCGTACTTTTCCTCTTACGTAATGTGAGAATACGAGTGAATGTTAACTTGGAGTTATGTAGAGAAATTATTATCCATAGATAACCGTGGATACCCGAAACCCAAACGGGTATGGGCATGATTTTGATTTTCTACTCGTTTCTTATGTGGATATAGATATAGGTAAAACCGAACTACTTTGAGTAGAGTAACGAATATGCACTATCCGCCACCTACCCGATCCATTGCCATCTAAGTAAAACTACTCTTGATAGCATAAAAAATGTGGAGCCAACGTAAATAACTTTTGGGAAGCATGATTAGTCGCATAATTAGTGGGTCTGATATTTCAATGTAAATAAATAGTAAATAATTAAATATTCGATCAAGAAAAGGTTGAATCGAAAAGAACAACTTTTTCTCTCTTATTTTTTTCTTTTAATAGGTTCCAAACCAACCCAATTTCCCAGCTCCCTCCGCTCGAGCTTCTCCGCTCTTAAAACCCACCAAACAACCACAAAACTCTCATTCTAACCGATCGGTATTTGTTCTATTTGTTTACGGGCGATCTCTCCTCTGATCTGGTCTTTGTAAGTTGGCACTAGGTGGTGATCATTTTCCTTCGTTATGATCTCGCTCAAACACTCTCCCCTAGCTCCGCCGATCAATGGATCTGACACTGTTTTCCGCCGGAAAACCCCCTTGGCGGCTGGGAAAGCCTTCTTTTTGCCACCGCTTGCGGCTCCTCCTAAGGGTTTGAAACCCTCCCTCTCAGTTTCGAAGCCTTTGCACCTCACCTCTATCGAGGCTTTTTCTGCCAGGGAGAGTAGTGCGCCCTTGATCGTTTGCAAGGCGTATGAAGCTGATCGGCCAGAACCGATTGACGCTAGCGATGCCAAACCAGAGGCGGCGAGGAAGGTTAAGATCGGAATTTACTTCGCCACCTGGTGGGCGTTGAATGTCGTTTTCAATATCTACAACAAGAAAGTGTTGAACGCTTTTCCGTATCCATGGCTTACATCCACGCTTTCGCTTGCTTGTGGATCTCTGATGATGTTGATCTCCTGGGCTACAAGGATTACGCCGGCGCCCAAGACGGATTTTGAGTTCTGGAAGACTTTGTTCCCTGTAAGTTTCATTTTCAGAGTTTTTGTTTGGTTTTGAGATTTGACGGGAAAGTGAGTAAATTGGATTGGAAAATGATGGTTTTGTTTTCATCTGGGTGATAGATTTTGTTTCCTTTGCACACATTTGACGAATTTGTTGGTTTCCTGTGATTTCATTCCTGAATTTTTTGAGATCTGTAGCTACCCATTTTGTATCTGTCTGGCAAACATCAATTTTGGATTTTTCTCCCTCATAAAGCTTATGTGGTTGATAATGGACTGAAATTGTTTGCTCATTCATAGGTTGCAGTGGCACATACAATCGGGCACGTTGCTGCAACAGTGAGTATGTCTAAGGTTGCAGTTTCATTCACTCACATCATCAAGAGTGGTGAGCCAGCGTTCAGTGTCTTGGTCTCTAGATTCATCTTGGGAGAGTCTTTCCCTGCCGGAGTTTACTTGTCCCTCCTCCCAATTATTGGTGGTTGTGCTCTTGCTGCTGTCACCGAGCTCAACTTTAACATGACTGGTAATGTTTGATTCATTGTTTGCTTTTCATTTTGAACCATCAATATAACCCAGCTCAAATTCTAAACTGGGTTCTCGTTTGACATATGAATGGCAGTTTAGAACTCTGTTTATCTAAGCGCAAACGCATTTTTAGTTATGTTTGTTTTCTTCTATAACTTGTTTTATGGTCTTCTGACAAGCCATGTAACATTTATTTGGTCTTAGTCATCTACTCCTCGTGTGTATGTTGCATAGGTTGGAGTTTTGTGGCCTCTTTCCTGACTTTGCTGATTGTGTTGTGGGGTTTTTGTTGTCCATTGCAGGTTTTATGGGGGCCATGATCTCCAACTTGGCATTTGTATTTAGGAACATATTTTCAAAGAAGGGTATGAAGGGCAAGTCAGTTAGTGGAATGAACTACTACGCTTGTCTCTCTATATTGTCTCTGGTGATTCTCACACCTTTCGCTATTGCTGTTGAGGGACCACAGATGTGGGCTGCTGGGTGGCAAAACGCCCTTTCTCAGATTGGACCCAATTTCGTCTGGTAATTTTCTTGCAATTGAAAACACACTGTTGTTGATTTTTTTATTCTGTTTTACTGGTAATCTACCCCTGCTTATCTCTAGTACATTTCTGTAATTTATTGATACTACAGAGCAGCTGTTCATAACATTGCAGGTGATGATTCCCACTTTTCTGACATAGCTACGTAGTATTTCTTGTAACATTCTTTGTCATTTGTGTGTATTATAATATATGTACAGTATGTTGGGTAGTTTTGCGATGCAACCAATGAGTGGTGTGTGTTATGCCACCTCAGCTGTTCTCAAATAATTTACATTTTCTGGCTGTAAAGTAGTCTGCATACGGTTCTCTAGTTGGACACACAAACAGAACTTGATTGTGAACGGGGATCGATCAAACCATATATGAGTACTAGAAATTACTATGGATAAGGTTGTTGGGAGTTCAGCTGGTGTTGTTGTCCTGTCTTCGATGCATGCTCTAGACATTGCTGGTTGATACATGATTTCTCCATTTTCTTTCTCTCTCCTTTGTTTCTTTCATTTGGATTCTGGAGATGTGATGTGTTGAATGTTGATTTCCCTTCTTTGTAGGTGGGTAGCCGCACAAAGTGTGTTCTATCATCTGTACAACCAGGTTTCATACATGTCATTGGATGAAATCTCTCCCTTGACGTTTAGCATTGGAAACACCATGAAACGTATATCCGTCATTGTTTCCTCCATCATCATCTTCCACACACCTGTCCGCCCTGTCAATGCTTTGGGAGCTGCCATCGCTATCCTTGGAACCTTCTTGTATTCCCAGGTAAGTCCCCTTTCCTCTCTTTTTTCTTCTCTTCTCTTCCAATAGCTAGCTGCTCATTTTCGGTTGTTCCATCAAAATGAACATATGGATCCCATAAGGTCAACATGTCTCGATTTGAATTGTCATGGATTAAACCCATGTATGACCCCTCACATTGTTCATTACCTTCCAATGACAACATTTTAAAATGGTTTCTTCAAGTGTTAGTGAGATCTAAGATCCTTCAGCAATTAGCATGAGGTAGGATTAGTAGTGGCTTTATCATCATCATGTGATGAACTATGTCGTTTACTTGCTTAACTAATCTTGTGTGGGAGATGTGATGTTTCTTTCTTGGCCTTGTTATTATCATTACTCATTCAAATATGAATTCTCATCTCACCCAATTGAAGGGTTGGTTGATGACAGAGCTGACTTTTCGTATGCATCTGGGGTCAGAATCAGTCAATCAGACAATAATAAATGGATGTTACAACCCTCCCTCCCTCGAGAACTTTGTTCTTAGAATATGCTTTCTTCTTTGTGATTATCCAAAGTCAAAAGATTGACTTGGTACAAGCAAAAAGCCAAAGCATCATGTGGAGAATATGCTCTTATTTTATATTTCTTCTAAGCCAACCATTAGGTTGGAGTATGCTTTTTGTTTGCTGAAACAACCCTTAAAGCTTTGATGCTCGACTGATGGGAAGTTTTGTTTGGTGTTTGAATGCAGGCTAAGCAGTGATCCAAAATTGGGGAAGAATAAGAAGAAATTTTTGAAAACAATTCATGTTAGTTTTGTTAAGCAAAGGTAGAATGTGGATGGTGAAGTAAAAGGAGAAATTGTTAAAAGAGGATGGTGGGTAAAATGCCAACAATATGAGGACTAGTGTTTGGTTTTTTGCTATAGATTTTCTTTTTCGGCCTTTTTGTAGATAATAAGGTGAAATAGTTAAAAGAGAGCGAGAAAGACATGACAGTAGGACTGATGATAATAATGTTGTTTCATTAGTAGCCGCAGTAGCAACAAGCTTTGCTGAAACGAGATTGAAATAGGCTGAGCTGAGTGACATTGTACTTGCCATTTTACGTTGTTTTGGCGGAATAAAACTAAGAGAGGGAAGAAAACCCTCCCCACACCGTTTCTTGTCCTGTGGACTTACTTTTGAACTCTCTATGGAGTATGGACTATGGTCTTGACTTTACAATTGCGTTGTCCTAACAAACCTAAGATTGTCAAACCTAAGACTTCGCCGATCCAAACCCTAAGAGGCAATCTGAGACTCCAGAGTCTTCCAATTTATTGGGATCTACCTCTCCACTTCATTTCCTCTAAACCTTATATCTTCTTGTGGTTGACGTGGGATAGTAATTAGGATGATCCTGTTTCTGTCCACTGGTTGGAAATTTGCTCGTACTATATTTGCTTTCCCACTACTCTTAACAATACATTCCAGTGGTAGTGTAAGAGATGCATGCAATCTTGAGTACATTCCATGATTCTTCAACGAAGCTTCTAAGGCTAATGTTTCAAGAAAGAAAATGCAACAAGCATACTTATTATTAGCTCGACTGAGATCATACATAGATAGACTAATTGACAAAATGCCTTTCTGGTACCAGAGTTTGTCAGAAGAGCCTTCAGCTTACACCACCAAGTTGGAACTCACCACCTATTAGTATTTTGCTTATTGTTCCCGTATGTCGAAAGAGAAGGAAAATCTGCAGAGGCAGTTCATCTAAGCTTTACTGTTCAGACTTTCAAGTACTTGATGGCAGTCTGAACATCCTTGTCCCCTCGGCCGCTGCAGTTCAGTACGACCTTAGTTTTATCAGGGAGGGTTGGGCAAAGCTTCTCAAGGTAAGCCAAAGCATGAGATGTCTCCAGAGCCGGGATTATGCCTTCAAGTCTTGATACTCTCTTAAATGCTGCACGGGTGAAAAGAAGTAGTCAGATGGATTGCCTTTACATCGTGAAGCTGTGCCAAAAAAGGGAGTTCTTCTGGTGTCTGAAAGGAGCAAACCCACTGAACAAGGGGATAGTCTAGCTATGTATATGGAAGTACAGAGTATAGTTGTCTTCCACAGCCAAAACTATGGTTCTAGGCTGATTATACGACATGTTAATGGATTTCAACCAGTTGACCAATTAGCATTGATCAATCACAACCTCAGGCAAACTAACATGTTCTCCTATATCTTTAAGGCGTATGAAAACTGATCAGGTTGCGACTTACTCTCAAGCACCAGTGAGGTTAGCCAAAATATTAAATATATAAAGCAGGATTGGCAATTGGAAATTTGTTATACAAAGAACATATTCAGATGCACAAGCCAAAACACAGTACTAATAATCACAAAAATGGCCTATTCAAGAGCATAGCAAAAGAAAGCACAGCCTAGGAAGAGCTTCCATACCTTCTAGTGCCTCCTCATCAGTGACACAATAGTATTCAGCACGGCCTTTCTCTTTCAGAAAGCTATGCTCAGGTCCAACTCCAGGGTAATCCAACCTATTCCAACAAGGCCACAATGAACTACGAACGACAAAGGTGTAATAGTCAAACCAAAAAGCAACCTATGAATTCACAAATGTTACCCAGCACTAATGGAGTGAGGCTCAATGATTTGCCCATCATCATCTTGTAACAAATAGCTCATAGCTCCATGCAATACACCAACTTCTCCTTTAGTCAGAGTTGCAGCATGCTTACCGCTATCCAGACCTAAACCTGCAGCCTCCACGCCAATCAACCTAACATCTTTGTCCTTGACAAAATCCTCAAACAATCCCATCGCATTCGAACCACCACCAACGCACGCGACAAGGATGTCTGGCTTCCCACCCCATTTTTCCATTGCTTGCCTTCTAGTTTCCTCACCAATTACCTTGTGGAACTCCCTCACCATCATTGGATACGGATGCGGACCAGCAACAGAACCTAGAATATAATGAGTCGACTCCACGTTGGTCACCCAATCCCTTATAGCTTCTGATGTAGCATCTTTAAGAGTGGCCGTCCCAGAATGAACCCCTCTCACCTCAGCTCCCAGAAGCCGCATCCTAAACACATTAAGGGATTGTCTCTCCATATCCTGCGCGCCCATATAGATGATACATTCCAACCCAAACCTTGCACAGACAGTAGCAGTGGCAACCCCGTGCTGACCAGCTCCAGTCTCTGCAATGATCCGCTTCTTGCCCAACCTCTTCGCCAGCAGAACTTGGCCAATGGCATTGTTGATCTTGTGAGCGCCAGTGTGGTTCAGATCCTCCCTCTTCAGGTAAATGTGTGGCCCTTCACCATTCGGACGCCTGTAATGATCGGTGAGCCGTTCAGCGAAGTAAAGAGGAGTCTCCCTTCCGACATAGTCTTTCAAAATACCGCCCAGTTCTGCCTGCATTCCAAATGGGTTCACCAGTTCCCAGGAATCAGAACCCAAATCACATATCCAGCATATTACAGTTTGCTTCACTCATCCACACAACAGATTCAATTAAGTAATGAAATACACCGATTTGGCGATTTCCCCCAAAAAGATTCCTACTTTAACAGCGGAAATGCACAGTTTACTTGCCTGGAAATCAGGGTCGTTCTTGACGGAATTGAAGGCGGATTCGAGCTCAGTGAGAGCATACATGAGAGTCTCGGGGACGTACTTGCCGCCGAACTTGCCGAACCGGCCGAACGAGTCGGGTCGACTCCACAGAGCCGGGTCGGAATCATCCTTCTCCGTCGAGGTAACAGCCGCCGCCTCTCTGGTCATGGTGCAGGAGATAGCGCACCCCACAGTGGTGCGGGGTCGAGTTGTGGATTTGGCGCGCCCGAAGCTCAGCTGAGCGGAAGAGTAGGAGGAGGAAGACGAAATGGGAGGCGGCAGCGAGAGGGCAGAGCTACTGCGAGCGGTCGGTGCGGAAGTAGCTGCTGCTCTGATGGCCATTTAGCAGATTTTCTTCAAAGTCGGAGGCTTTGTTGGTTAAGTTTGTAATGGATTTGGCGTCTTGGGACCGCTAGATTTTATATTTGATACGGCAACGCAGGCTCACGTGGTAGACGAATGGCCTGGAAACTTGAGAGCGACATGGCAGTTTCCCAGCCTTCCCATATATAAACAGTAGAAGTTGAAACTGCTAGGGTTGGTTGGGTAGCAGATTGTTCCCAAGCCATTCACCCAGACCAGTTCGTCTTCTGTTGGCATTCTCTCAGTTCGTTTCTAGCTTGTGCTGAAAAAGTTACAAAGGATCGATCAGGGTTGAATGGCGTACCTGAAGAAGTGGTGGCCAAAACAGAATGGCGTTTGTTTTTGCAGCTGCAACATGTATTGACTTGAGAGAAAAAAAGGTTTCTTTCTTCATTCATGGGAGTAAATAATTCAATTTAGAATGGACATACGTTCGAACATTATTTTGGAGAGGTTGCGAACATGCTAATATTTTGCATATGAATCTTGGTAAATGACAAAACCTGGAAAAAAAATATAACAATCCTCTTTATAACATCCCGAACTTTTTCCCGTCAAAATACTATCCGCTTTTGGCCTCTAAATCCGTACGGATTTCAACTTCGGGTGCAATTCAGGGTGACTTTCCATAAAGTCACCCATCCGTATTGTACTCCGCACTGAGCACGTTTAACTTCAGAGTTCTCACAAGAACTCCTTCGTTTCACCCCAAAACACGTATTGTCAGTTAAGGTCGGTTTCCTACTTATGAACCATGGATCTCTCTGGTGCTTTGTCGATGTTGGATTTGCCTAAGGTGTTACATACACCCCTGGGACTCAACGCGCTCGTTGAGGTTTGCCCCACCATCGTTCAAGAGAGACGTGGAGAGGCTCTGATACCACTTGTAACATCCCGAACCTTTTCCCGACAAGATACTGTCCGCTTTGGGCCTCTACACCCACACGAATTTCGACTTGGGGTGCAATTCAGGGTGACTTCCCATAAGGTCAGGCATCCTTGTTGTACTTCGCACTGAGCACGTTTAACTTCGGAGTTCTCACAAGAACTCCTTCGTTTCACCCCAAAACACGTCTTTTCAGTTAAGGTCGGTTTCCTACTTATTAACCATGGATCTCTCCCGTGCTTTGTCGATGTGGGATTTGCCTAAGGTGTTACATACACCCCTGGGACTCAACGCCCTCGTTGAGGTTTGCCCCGTCATCGTTCAAGAGGGACGCGGAGAGGCTCCGATACCACTTGTAACATCCTGAATCTTTTCCCAACAAGATACTGTCCGCTTTGGGCCTCTACACCCACACGAATTTCGACTTGGGGTGCAATTCAGGGTGACGTCCCACAAGGTCAGTCATCCTTGTTGTACTCCGCACTGAGCACATTTAACTTCGGAGTTCTCACAAGAACTCCTTCATTTCACCCCAAAATGCGTCTTGTCAGTTAAGGTCTGTTTCCTACTTATTAACCATGGATCTCTCCCGTGCTTTGTCAATGTGAGATTTGCCTAATGTGTTACATCTTCATAGACAGTCTAGTGAGGCTGCAACTTAGCAAGTAATTTAATGTGTTACATCTTCATAGACAGTCTAGTGAGGCTGCAACTTAGCAAGTAATTTATTGTTTTTAACTAATTTCCATAAACTTTATTGTTCTTGACTAAATTTCTTCATTTTAATACTTTATTGTTATAAAGTGATATCATAATATGCGTATTGTTAAGTGCCTTCCACGGTACCCCGGTGAAATTCAGGGTATCGCATAGCTTGAGTATGAAAATACTATCTAGACCTCGAATTAACAGGATTTTGGGGCATGATACTATACCCTAACCCTTAATGAATGAATCATAGGTCCTAATTATCTAAATCATAAACTATAAACCCTAAGATGGTGCATTGTCCTTTTTTGCCTATATTTGGACGAATCATAACCATTGATTATTGTTTCTAATTAAATTGATTTGGGGTATAAGATTTAGAGAATTAAGACCTAGATTTTGATCTTTAAGGGTTAGAGTATAGTATCATGTCCGAAAGATCAATCAATGCAAGTTTTTTTTTTCTTGAAAGGGGTTGTTCATTAAGAAAGCGATTGGGCCAAGCCCAAATGAAAAAGTACAAGCAGAAATACACAGTTGGATAAAAAAACCAAACAAAAAGGCCCAAAGAGACAAGTGGGCCGGCACCCAATAGGGCCCAGACCCGGACCCAAACATGTGTGGCTCTCCTAACCCTAGCTGTGCATCTGCCTCCCTCAGCAACATCCACCGCCGCGGCCGAAAACAACCTCCACGAAAAGACACCCAGCGTCGCCACCTGCACAAGTCGTCGCCGCCATATGCCTGAACAGGGAACCGCTTCCACCAAACCCGAAGAGGATTCTCTCACCATCCAACTCCAAGCCAGTCGTCTTTGCCTCCTTCAAAACGACACAAAGGACCACATCAGACGACCGGTCGGCGGCGAAAGCTCCAGAGGGAGAAGGACTTCTGTCTTCAAGCTCTCCACTCTGAGTCCGACGCCATGGGCTACATCTCCGGAACAACAAGATCTGCATGTTGAGACAAGGAGGTAGACAAGAGAGAGGGGAGGAGAAGACAAGCCAGATCTAGAACAGATCCGACCTCCATCGCTTCTTAGATCAGACATCATCTCCAGATTTGAGTCACACATATCAGAGGGCAAAAAACTCGACCCAACAGAGGGGGAGGAAGAGATCCAACAAAGGAAGGACAAACACCCAAAACAAGGGCTGGAAACAAGCATAAAGCAGAGAAACAAGAACACATGAAGGAAGGAAAGCAAGACAACAAACGGAGATCGGAGGGACGGAGGGCTGTCGCCGGAGAGACGCCGGCAGCAGCCCCCATACTCGTCTGGAAGGGGAAGCCTCTAGAGAGAAGGTGACTCGCTGTTACTGTCACTCTAGAAATTGGCCAAGTGTAACCACTTCCTAAAGCGTAGTATAGCGGGTTGGGTTTTAATGTCAACCCGGGTCCTAGATGTGATGACTACTCAGTGAATTCGTATTATCTAGCAATGAAACTTTAGTGAAGTTCTAAACTAACAAGCAAACAAAACAACTAAACGGTTGTATTCAGGTTAAGAGAGGTCACCCGGATATGGTTCCCCCTAGACTGCAGTTAAGCCGGATTGTAATTGCCAAGTTCGATTTCTATGATAGTTATACTGCGGAAGATTCTCAAATAGTCTGAAGTCTCGACTAAAGGTCTTCAGACCCTCTCAATCTGAGTCTCTAGCTGGCGACTAACCTACACCGGAGTAAACAGATTGAGGCCCTATGAACAAAACCTTCACTACCGAATGGAATTCGGTACAGAATAGTGAACTGGCTCCTCGACTAAAGTCACCAATTCACTACCTTCGATTAAGGATACTCTATCAACCTAGGCAGATATTATCATTCTAGGTTAAAGCAGAAACAACAGGAATTTGATCAGGATTCATGCCATTCAATCATTCAAACCTCAATCGAATATAATCAAATCATAGAATCAATACTTGGGTTCATACAATCAAACCTAACATACAGAACTAGGGTTTCCCATACCCAGATGAATGGGAGAACTACTCCATGGAGAAAGAAGCAAAAGCAGAATCAGACGCGGAAATCATACTGTGAAGATGGATTTCTGCTCCTGGACGTTGAATCGGCACTTCTCCAAGCTCAAACCAAGCTCCAATGGTGTTGAAGATCGATCTAGGGCACTTGGAGACTCTTGTTCGTCGCTTTCTCTCTCTAGGAATCGCTCTGTCTCTCTAAAACTCGAATCCCCCTCTGTTTGGCTCGGAATCCGCTTAAAACCAGAATTTCCCGACTCGCACGGCCAGGGTGCACGGCCGTGCATATCACCATTCTGGCCGTGCACCTCAAAACGCGGCGTACCATTAAGTCGAACTTCAGCCATCTCGCACGGCCTGGATTGCACTTTGCACGGCCGTGCGGATTTCACTTGTGCCCGTGCGTGGCCTCGGCAAAAAGCGCACGGCCTGGGTTGCATGTTGCACGGCCGTGCGGATTCATGGTCTGCCCGTGCGTGCTCTCGCACAATCCCGCACGGCCAAACTGGTCACTTGCACGGCCGTGCGGGTTGTGGGTGTGCCCGTGCGACTTCCTCAGAACCTCGCCATGCGTCCGATCCTCGTTCAATCGACCTCAAACTCGCTCCCAAGCCTCCATTCACGTACTAGGACCTGAAATATCATAAACAAGCACAACCTAGCGTGAAATCGGCCTAAAACACGAGAATCAATACCTCAAACGGAGTAAGAGCAGGGGTAAAAACATGTGTAACTAACGGTCTATCAGAAGGCAGAGAAAAAGGAAAGGAAGAGAGAGGAATAAAAAAATTTCAATCAATGCAAGTTCTTGATAGCATTTTCTTACTCAAGATATGCGGTACCCCAGATTTCACTCTGGGTGCCATAGAACTCTCCTTATTGTTAACATATTGGTTGAAGTTATACAAAAAAAAATATTATTTATGGATAACCGTGGATATCTGAAACCCCATTGAGTAAAGATATGGTTTTTTATATTATACCCAATTCTTATGTGTATTGATAAAATTCGAACTATTTTGGATATAGTAACAAATATGTACTATATTATCCCTACAAAACATAGGTGTGGTTTAGAGTATGCCAGTGGCTCGGATTGGGTTGATATTATGCTCGCCTTTCTTTTTTGGTTTCAATAGGACTCCTTACGAGCGTTGTTTCTATTTACTATTATCTAAAAATAATCAAGTTATTAATGACTGGAGTGCTCGATCTAGTATAGAGCATAAAGTACATAGATATAGTTTCATTTCTACCATCATTTTAGTGAGATTGTTATACTAATTGCATTTTTAGTGTAAATAATTTCTTTATTTTTTTTATACAAGCACATTAATATATAATATTTGGTTGGTTGTCAGAAACAATCGTCTCATACAGCTTAACAATCAACTCTTTTAGCATCCTCACCCCATCTTTTCTCGAATTAACCAAAAGAGGTTAATTGCATCCCATGAGTTTCAAACTAGATTTTTTTTTAGTACTAATATGTTTTTATCTTTTCTCCCACCTTCAGAAGAAGAAAGCGTAGTCGTTCTACTATTGTTAGAATTCATTTTTGAAAGATAACTATCTCGATTTCATCAAAAGTTGAGATAGTTAAAATTTTTAGTCAAAGATAATTGTTTTCTTTTTCAATTTTATAGTTGAAAAAGTGTTTTTTTTTTATCAAAAGGAAAGAGCCCAATTGTTAAAAAAATGATGGAATGAAGAACCAAAATGTTCTATCCCACGAACAGTATGTTGTTCAAACTTCAAATATAAAAGGGATAATAACATAATTTGCTTATCTACCACAATTTTTTTCTAAACGTTGCCTCTAATAACTAATATGTTCACATTAACCATTAAATAATGTTTCACATTAAAAAATCCATCTGTATATTGTTATCTAATTTACCTATTGAAATTCTACTTCCAAAAATCATCAACCGCCAACCGACATTGAATTTCAATCATCCGTCCCAAAAGCCCTTCAATTTTGAGGGTTTATGAGGTGGGGTTTTGCGAAATGCGAACACAAACCTCTGTCCCGGGTAACAGCCCAACCCGCCGGCCCAGCTGGTTTTGGCGGGGTCTTTTGCACACAAGAGCGTGGTGGACTGGAGACAGTAGCGCTGAAGTTCTTCGGGAAAAGGTCGAGTCGATTCCTTTGGAAAGCCTGTGAGCAGTAAGTCAATTCTCTTATGGGCTGATGAAAAATTTAGGAGATCGCCAGATTAGGGTTTGCTTGGTTTGACATTGTAATGGATTCGGCATTCTTCCATCTTCACTTCGTGTTCTTTGAGCAGTACCCTTACTATGCTAACTGATTCTTCTTCTTCTGTTCCATTCTAGTGACTTAGCAGGAAATGGGTCGTCATTTGTCCGATCATTCGGTATCCCCAGACAGAGTCAGAGGTCGGAGGAGCTCCCCACCTGCTGAAAGGGCAGCAGCACGACACAGAAGTTCCCGTAGAGATATTTCGCCTTCACCAGTAGCCCGGCAAAAGAACTCACGGCGGGATGCCTCTCCATCGCCAAAAGACAGAAGACGTGCTAATAGTAAGTCCCCTAATGGTGAAAGGTCTGCTTCTCTTTCCCCACGTTCTAAGAGACTAAGGCGAGTGCAAGCGGAGAGAGAGGCGGATAAACTGGGTGATAGTAGAGACCATGGAAGGAATCGTGGCAGGGACAGGGATAGGGTTACCCATAAGGACAGGGAGGATCCTGAAAGAGAGCGTGAAAGAACTCATGGTAAAGGAGGAGCGCATAGGGAAAGGGAGGCTCACAAGGTGATTGACAGGGAAAATGACAAGGGCCATGGGAGTGGAGGTGATAAGGCCGCCTATAAAGCAAGAGGTACAGAAGATAGGGGAAATAGTGGGGAGAGGAAGCATAGTAGAGATGAAATGGACAGAAAATTATCTAGAGATAGGCATGAGCGTTCTCTTTCTCCAACTGATCGGCACCACAAGAGAAGCTTTGGGTCTCAGTCACCTCGAAGAGCTGCTCAGAACACAGAACGCGACGAGGTGTCTGGTGATATCTATTCCTAGTGACTATTTCTATCTAATTACTTTTTGTTCCCCTGCCTAAAATGTGGCCTTCTATTGTGTTTGGCATTTAATGCAAGTGAATATCTTTTCTCTCTTCATTTTTCTGAATGTTTCTGCTGCCTTCTTTAGTCAGCGAGGCTCTTGCTCTTATTAGTCCTATACTCCAGTTGCTGCATTTTGGTTTAAATGTCAACTCATATGGAATTGTTTATTTTAGGTCACCAACTATGGAGGAGCAGATAGAAGGTAAGATCCTTGCCGGAGTCTATTTTTCCATCTATTCCTTAGTTGAGGCAAATGTTTGATTACTTGCTCTTTGTATTTGTTCTTCTGTGTAACACTTATGGTTTATGATGATTACATCTTCAATTCCATCAAAGTGAGGAGTAATGTGAATGATAGGTGTCCTTTACTCCGAGGAAATAGAATTCTCAGACAACCTAGCTGCGAAAGCCATTAGATTCTACCACTGACCAGGGTTACGCTTGTTGCTTATTCCGCAATAGTTTATCTTTAGAAGCGCAGAACATATGAAGAAACCTTATGTCACCCAACTATACTAGTGAATTTGATCCTTCCCGTTTTTCCATTAGAGGGCATAGTGACAGTGTAGCATGATTATGGGCTTTGGTTGGCCTTCGTACATCACAATATTATGATCTGCTCATCATGGTGTTAATTATATTTGTTGATTCCACAGAAATTACGAGGATGATTCTGTAGCTAAGATGAAAGCGGCTGAAGAGGCCTTGGAAGCGAGCCAAAAAGTAAGACTGTAACTAAATTTGTGGAATATAGTCTTGTTTCTGATCATTAGGGAGATGCAAGAGTGCCTTGGTCCTACTTCCCTATATCTAATGTTGTTGATGCATGACATTGGCTTGCAGCAAAAACCATCATTTGAGCTGTCTGGGAAACTTGCTGCGGAAACTAATAGGGTTCGAGGTTGGTGTTTTTGCATTTTTTCCTACAGTTCCCTGTTTTATTAGCTCTGTCACATATCTGACAGATTCGATTACTTATGGCTGCTAGGAGTAGTATAGTTTTTTATGCTTGTTTCATTGTCTTTCATGTTTTGGTATATGTGGAGAACTGGAATGTTAGCATGCAACTGATTTAAATTATTATGTGATGTCAACACATTCCAGCTGCAGTAGGTGTTGGAACCCTTTCTCTCAATGGCTGTATTAATTGTAGCTTGACAATGTTCAGACATTCATTAAATGGCTTTTTTTATTGTCCATAAACTCTGTTTGTCTGCTTCCTATGCTGGCATATTACTATAATTTCCGATCCTCTGTTGCTTCCTATGGATTACAAGTGATGCTAGCAACGACTTCTGATGATGTAAACTGATTAAGCTTGCTTTGCTGAGTCGTCAAACAATCACAATTACTGGCTGTGTGCTTTCTTTCTGATGCCTCTCATTTGCTCGTCTGCTATTTTTTTGGGGCAGGTGTTACTCTACTGTTTAATGAGCCTCCAGAGGCCCGGAAACCCAACATAAGATGGAGGCTTTATGTTTTTAAGGGTGGTGAAGTGCTGAATGGTGAGTCTTGGTTTCTCGACTCTTGTTTTGCGCATGTGTGATGCAGCTTGTGCAATGATTGTAATTGCTGCTTTTGTTAGTTGCACTTGCACACCACGCGTCAGTTCGCTGTTGCAACAAATCATGTTTGTTAGATACTTGGCTCAGGCCAGCAAAGAACTTAATCCTAGTTTCTTCTATTGAGTACTAAGTTTACGTATTGGAATACTGTTTGGCTATCAAATTCTGTTGACACTTGCATCCATTTTGTTTGGATAATGGTGCTGACTTTGTTTCTTGTTTCTATTGTGTCTCAATGAACAGAACCTCTCTATATACACAGGCAAAGTTGTTATCTTTTTGGTAGAGAGAGAAGGGTGGCAGATGTCCCTACGGACCACCCATCCTGCAGCAAGCAACATGCTGTCATTCAATTCCGGTAGATCTATAAGTGGTTGCTCAAAAATTTTAATTGATGTTGTTGGGGGTGTTTCTGATTTTGTTTCGTTGACTTGTAGGCAAGTAGAAAAGGAACGATCTGATGGTACCATATCTAAGCAAGTAAGGTAAGAATCAACAGTTTTTTATTATTTAAAATTTCTGTAATAAGGTGCAGTTTAGTGTCTTCTGCTTATGCTGACTTCTTTGTTCTCTGTATGGATGATAGCCCTTACTTGATGGATCTTGGAAGCACTAACAAGACTTTCATTAATGTGAGGCACATACTCTTTTACCAATATTCAGCACGACTTCTATGGTTAGTTATTCATGTAATCACGTCTGAACAGCTTTTCTGGTGTTTGCAGGAGAAACCCATTGAGCCCGAGCGTTACTATGAGCTTTTCGAAAAAGACACAATTAAGTTTGGTAATAGTAGGTAGGCAACCTAATCATTTCTCGACATGTACTTCCTGAGCTGGAGTTTAAAACTTTGTCATTATTAATTAGTGACTAACCATCCAAGATAAATCAGCTTCCATTGTGCTTGGATGATTTTGGCTTAGTTAGCCGTTCTGTTGTGCTTGGATGATTTTATCTGAATGCTGTACTAACCTTTTCGATTATCTGAAGCATTTTTAGCTGAGTTCTCCTTGTCTATGTTTTGTGAGCGGTACTGATGTCTGTTACTTGCCATCAGCATTACATTGCCTGCTGCACCTCTGTTGATTCATTGCTTTGTTGGTCTTGTCCAAGTGTCTTTGGGGGCTATCATGACTTGGTGCTGCGTTTCCATCCTGAGCGTGTTGACTGCATGTTTAAAGTTGTTCGAGTGGCCGACAAGTTGCTTCTACGTTTAGAGCATTGGCGCCTGAAAATTGGAAAGCTGTAGCTGATTTTTTTCATGCAATATTTCTGTTTGATCCTGCCCCTAATGATTTGCTGTGCCTGGTTTTCTGCAGCCGAGAATATGTGTTATTGCATGAGAACTCGTCAGAGGTATCACCAAGTCCCTGAGGACGTTTCTTTGATATCAGGAAGCGACGGAGTATATTTTGCGTCTGTTCTTTTGGGAAATCGAGGAGAACATAGTCTTAAAAATCTGTATATCCTTTGGGGATGGAGAGAGCAGATGTCGGATAGGATCATCCGCTTCAAATGTACTACTCAGCTGTCCTCCCTTTCCCTTCCCCACACGAAACTTATCAGATGTTCACAATCTTGCAAGAATCTGCAAGCTTTGCTACCGATTTTAGTGGTATACTTTGAAGTAGGTATTTAGAAGTGCTTTGTGCAATTCCGGATAGCTTCTTTTGCTGGGAAGCCTCGTGTTTGGTATTTGCAGATAAAGTCTTCTAGAGTAGTGCCGCGAGTGATTTGTGGAACAAGGATTCGAACTCGTGTGGGACAAGTGGAATTTGTTTAGTGCAGAATTAGGTTGATAAAGAATGGTGTGTATTTTGACCTCGAACTTGAAGGACATTCTTCAAACCTGTAATTTAAAAATATGTTGCTAGTGCTTTAGTGTGATGTGGGCTAGTTTTGAAGTCGGAATTCCTACCAATCTTAGAGAGGTATTAGTAGGGGTATGTAATAACTCGGTCTGCATTGGACCAAAACAATGTTTGAGCTAGACCAACTTGTACCAAATATAAAGTGTATGGTGCTTAGTTTCATTAATTTTTTTAGGATTAAGGAAAATATAAAATTTATTTTAAATCGAATGAAACGGTATAAAATGCACTTTTAATATGGTTTTGTCCTCAAAGAAAGGGGTTAATTGCATGGTTGGTCACTGAGATTACAAAAAGCGTTCATGTTTGGTCACTAGAAATATTTAAATCCAATCTTGGTCACTCAAATTAGTTAAATGGTTCAAGTTTGGTCACTCTCCGTTACCTTCCGTCAGTCTCTGTTAACACCGTCAATTATTTGCTGACGTGGCTAACAGACTCACCTAGTCACCTATTTTTGACAAACAAACAAAAATCCAATCCTGCCACGTCATAAAAGCTTGCCACATCATAAAAACCTGACCAATGTGACCCAACCCATTAACCCATGATCTGACCTACCCCAAATTAAAACCCAAAATTGACCAATCCTCAAAATCCCTTGCCCGGAGAAGACGACAGGAAGAAGCTATTGTCGCCGACCTGTCCAATCCGCCGGTTTCCCCTCTTCTCCTTCCTTCGGCAAAAACATCAAAGCCACGAGCACCACCAACTCCCTCTTCCCTTCTTCTCCAATCTCTAGCTCTCTTGGTGAAAAATAGACGGCCAATCTTCCGATCTTCCCCACCAGTCTCTTCAATCCCTCCTATCGACCATCCCCAATTCCTCCATCGTCCCTTCCAATCTCCCTCGTCGATTGTACTCACTCCCGAGCTTTTGTCCCCTTCCCCTCGAGACCTCTCCTCCTTTCGAATCTCTCTATCCTCCTCCCTGTTCCCACCTTCTTCTCCTCCCTTCCCTCTCCTTTTCCCCACCAATCCTCCGACATGCTTCGCAGCTTGCTCCTCCAATCCCCTATCTCCCCCAATTATGCCCCCTCCTCCATGAAAACCAAGCGCGCCGACCGCGACCTCGCTGGCGACGACGACCCTTCCGCCAAACGCCCCAACTTCTCCGCCGGCGAGCAGAGCGAGCCGGCAGAAGAAGACCCCTCCTCCTCCGCCGCCGTCTCCGTCGTCGAAGGCGGCGAGTCCACCGGCCTCCGCAGTCTGTGTCTCCTCCTCCAATGCGCGGAGTGCGTCGCCATGGACAACCTCGACGACGCCACAGATCTCCTCCCCGAAATCTCCGAGCTCTCCTCCCCCTTCGGCTCTTCCCTTCAACGCGTCGGCGCGTACTTCGCCCACGCGCTCCATTCGCAGAAGTTCTTCACCGCCTTCCAGTCCTACAATTCGATCTCGCCGCTCATCAAATTCTCCCACTTCACTGCCAATCAGGCCATCTTCTAGGCTCTGGACGGCGAGCATGGATGGAGTGGAGGGCGAGGAAGTAGAGAAGCAGAGCGTGAGAGGAATGTGGGCGGGACGATTCAGATCCTTCGGCTGGAAGTCGGAGAGAGGAAGATGGTGGAAGTTGAAGGGAGTGGAAAATCGACGAGGGATATTGGAAGGGACAATGGAGGAATTGGGGATGGTCGATAGGAGGGATTGAAGAGACTGGCGGGGAAGATCGGAAGATTGGCCGACTATTTTTCACCAAGAGAGCTAGAGATTGGAGAAGAAGGGAAGAGGGAGTTGGTGGTGCTCGTGGCGTTGATGTTTTTGTCGAAGGAAGGAAAAGAGGGGAAACCGGCGGATTGGACAGGTCGGCGGCAATAGCTTCTTCCGGTCGTCTTCTCCGGCAAGAGATTTTGAGGATTGGTCAATTTTGGGTTTTAATTTGGGGTAGGTCAGATCATGGGTTAATGGGTTGGGTCACATTGAACAGGTTTTTATGATGTGGCAAGCTTTTATGACGTGGCAAGATTGGATTTTATTTTATTTTTGTCAAAAATAGGTGACTAGGTGAGTCTGTTAGCCACGTCAGCAAATAATTGACGGTGTTAACGGAGACTGACGGAAGGTAACGGAGAGTGACCAAACTTGAACCATTACCATTTAACTAATTTGAATGACCAAGATTGGATTTAAATATTTCTAGTGACCAAACATGAACGCTTTTTGTAATCTTAGTGACCAACCATGCAATTAACCCACATTCAAAGCAATGCAGTCCAATCTAACGGAACAAAGGAAAATATGTCATGGAACTAGGATTCCATATTCAATAAGGACTAGTAAGGAATCCTTGTGCGATAAGGACTATTAAGTTTACTATGTAATCATTGTCAATCCTAACCTAGTTAGGAATCCCAGTTGTTCGAATGAAAGTTTTGCTAACGAATAAGAATTTCCTTGATTAACCCAGGTAAGTTCTTGTTTAATTTGTAAGGAAAATAGATCCTTGGTGCACATAACTACTTTTATGTAAGAAAAACTATATTAATATAGTAAACTATTCATTCTTGGATGATTAATAACTATTCAATTATTCTATCAAAAAAAAAAAAAAAACTATTCAATTATTGGATGATTATTATTATGGAATAAATAAAAGACAAAGAGATTAATAATTATGGGCATGCCTAACAATATACTAATAAGTTGATCAATATATTCCTTCCTATTGTTAAGGGGGTTGGCAAAATTCCTTCCTAGGATAAGATAAAATTCAACCAAGAAGATTCATTTTTACCTAAGAACTACTTAAACTAGTTAATCTTGATCCTAGGAGGCTATGAGATTGACGACCAAGATCACGTGAATACCTTCTTTACAACCAATTTCCAACATGCTCGTGCCTAAATTTTCTATGAATAACTCGTATTTTCTAGACATAGAATTATCTCGGCTCTCTCTTATTATAAGCGGTTCATGCGTTCTCGCGCGGAACATTGGAAATCTATAACAAAAAATTTCATACTAAATCATCTTTTCATAACATTTGTTACATTGTTTATCTTAAGAATATGAGGCAATACTAAAAATTTTTTATAGGAACATTTCTCTACTAAGTTTAATATATTATTTATAAGGTAGCAACTAAAGGTCTCACTTTCCTAAAAAGTTCCAAGGGTTGGCTCATAGACCCATCATCAAAGAAAACAAATTTTTATTGAAAACTCTACCAAACATATATAAAAGTGTTAAACCAAACGCACTATATGGCATGGGAAAAAGAAATAAAATAAAAATGGTTACGAGTGAGTCAGTCGTGGGACGGCTTTGGCAGTAGTCCGGAAAAGCGAAAGAAGCTGTACCGGTCAACTGCCCGCCCGCCCGCGAGTCCCCAAACGCCAACTCCGCCCACCAGACCTCCTTTGTTTTCTTCTCTCGTCTTCTTCCCCCCAGCCCTCTCAACGTCTTTTGTTTGTTATAGACTTCTAGTTTACAATTTACATTTACAATACCCACACACACGCACCCAAAAGATCTCTGGAAAATCCATTTCGTGAGAGAAAGAAGATTGCAGAAACAATAAAGAACAACCACAACTGCAACAACAAAGAGTTATCAGCTATGAAAAGCTCGCTGCTGCAGTGTAGCGACTGCTGCTTCCATGGCCGCCAGCAAGAAATTTCCTAGGCAGATGGGTGAAATCATCCGGAAAATCGCCCGGGTTGACATCAAGTGGAGCGTCCTGGAACGGGTCTCTGTTTTCCGCCAGTTTTTCGAGTTCTTGTGGGATAGGATTCTCGCCTGTTCTATTGGTAAGCCGCCCTCCAAATACCGCCGCATAACTCGTGCTGGGACGAATACTTCGCCTTCTACTTCTTCTTCTTCTTCTTCTTCTTCCACTTCGTCTTCGCCGCCCCAAGCCGGCGGCCCCGACTACGACTACGACGCTGTGCCTTTCGTCGAGGCGTGCACGACGAGTGGAACCGGCGAGCTCAACTCTTCCAACTCGGATTTGGTACCGCTGAAGATCAGCTTGCTGGGTGATTGTCAAATCGGAAAAACTAGCTTCGTGGTAAGCATTTCTCGGTTTAATCAATGGGGGGTTTCTGCTTTCTGGGTTGTTCTTGATTGATTCTGAATTGGTCCTGAATGAGCTGGAGATATTTTTTTTTTTGGTCAATAGTCAGAGTTAGAGCTGTTTTTGTTGATGGGTACGTGAGCTGATTTTCTTATTACCTTGCTTTTGTTTTCTTAATTTCCTTGTGTGGGCTCTGTTGCTGATGGCTGAAGATCAAGTATGTTGGGGACGAACAGGTGAAGAAGAGCTTGGAAATGGCAGGGTTGAATTTGATGGACAAGACATTGTTTGTTCAAGATGCCAGGATTTCATTCAGCATATGGGATGTTGGAGGTACCCCGGAAAATTTCCTAAAAATCTTTACTTTCCTTATCTGGATTTCATAATGGTATCAAGTTTCAGAAGGAGCTGAAACCTTCTCTGTTTCTGCAGGAGATAGCCGGTCGTTTGATCAAGTCCCCATTGCCTGTAAAGATGCAGTTGCAATTCTTTTCATGTTTGATCTCACCAGCAGATGCACACTCGACAGGTTGGCTGATCATCATCATCATCATCATCAAACCTTTCTTTATTCCTTATAACAGTTGCGTTCCAGGGTAAAATATGTTTTTGTAATGAAATATACTGTTCGTTTTAACAGCGTTGCTGGATGGTATTCTGAAGCCAGGAAATGGAACCAGGTAATAAAGTCAAACAGTTACAACCTCAATTATCTTGTTATAAATGTAATCATTATTGTTCGTTTGGTGTCCTTAAATACCTCTACCAAATTCTGTTGATCCATCCTCCTGTGAGATAGAGATGAATAGTGCTGTTAGCTATAAGCTATTAAGTAATCATTAATCTGTACAGATGTACAGTGCACCAACCTCTGCAAATTTCTGAATACTCAACCTCCGTTTGGTAAGGCATTTAACTATAACTTATGGTTATGGATAATACTTCTCAACTATAATTGGGAATCTTGGGGAAGTGACAATTTTCTGCTGGTGGGGGTGGCACGAACCAAGTAATTAGCCCTTAACGATTATGTAGTAACAACCGATGATTGAACATAAAAGCAAAATTTTGGCAGCAATGGCAGAGATGCTGAAAGCAATCGGAGAGGGTGATGATAATGATGGCAATGATCATCATGTGGCACTGAAAACCTGAATCCAGTGGCTGGAATGATTGTTATAGTGTGTTACGGCTTGTTTAATCAAGTGGGTGGTCGGTCTGGTTTCTTTCTGTTGCCTCCTTTTTTGTTGGAAATTAGTAGGGTCATCCACCCATGGCCATGGGGGATGCACTCTATCACAATCATGACATTCTAACTTGTTGCATGTGTATTAAGGAAGGAAGGCTTGTGGCTGTGGGTTAATCTATCTTATTCTTTTCTCTTGCAGACGGCTATTCCCATCCTGATCGGGACCAAGTTTGATGATTTCGTCCGCCTACCTCCAAATCTACAGTGGACTATTGCAACACAGGTAAACATACAAATGACGTATAGCAAACAGTGCTAAGATGAACAGTAGAACTTCTCTCAGTTTTGTCTTTGAACAGGTTTAGGGGAACATTGCCTGCAATTGTGACTTACCCTGTAGCATTTTGAGATTCCTTTTCCCTCTTTGCGCGTTTGATAGACAAAGCAGGCAGAATGGTGGGGTCACGCCCGCACACAAAAGCTTCATTAAAGTGAAAGAATTTAAGTTCTGAGACAAGGAAGGAATCTTCTTTAGGGATCCCCCGTCCGTATGGATGGTAGATCTAATTTAAGGCTTTGCCCATTCCCCTTTCAGCGTAATCTAAAGCTTTCAATTCAGGAATATGCTTTAGCAGGGTTTTCATTTTCAAACATTTATGCTGCATTTTACTCATTCAAAAAGAAGGGGTTTCATATACTGAGAAGTAACACCTTTTCTCCTTTAAATGATGTGTTGTCCGAAGATTCAAGTCAAGGGTATAGCAAATTAGGAGATCCTTATTGCAGCCAACTCTTGTTTGTGTACCTAAACTGTTATCTTTTTGGTTATCTGCAAACTTGCTGATCAAATTGTGTTGGTGGTGGCATGATGATGAACACAAACGCAGGCAAGGGCGTATGCACGAGCGATGAAGGCGGCGCTCTTCTTTTCGAGTGCGAAACACAACATAAACGTGAACAAGATCTTCAAGTTCATCGCCGCGAAGGTCTTTAACTTGCCATGGACGCTTGACAGGAACCTCACCATTGGGGAGCCCATTATTGACTTCTGATCTCTTTACCTATATAGTTGCATTTTACTATTTTTAACTGTTCTTTCACGCATTGATGTATTTTGTATTCTCCTGTAAATAGTAGAGAAAGATAAGAAGGGAAAGTAGAAAGGAAAACGGAAGAGTGAGTGAGAGGTCAGATTGATTGGTTCCACACACAATAGAGAGGAGGAGTCCTTTTTTCCAAGATTGTTTGTTGCTTTCATTTCTTCTTTGCTCTCTTTTGTTCCACCCTTCTGCTAACTTTATGATTTATGAGCATAGCGGTGAGCTTAATGGAAACATACACACAAAAAAAAAAAAAAAAAAGTTGTTCGATTACTACAAAGCAATTTCATATTCAAACTTCCCCTTTCTTTCTTTGCATTTTCGATGAGCTTCCAGATCTGTTTTCCCCTTCCTATTTTGATTCCTCCCTCCCCCATCATCTACCATTATTGTTAGGGGTGAAAATTGGCGCGAGTACGGTTACTCGTCCCGTATTTTGTGGGTAATCAAAGTGGGAACTTCTCTTGTGACATTACCCGCAACATTTCACATTTCAAAGCGTGAAACGTTGCGTTCTTTCACCAACGAATCCTTTATTATCCATTAGTCTATAGAGATGTATTGTTATATTGTTCGTAGAGACGAAAAGTATTTTGTATTTTAATTTTGCGTCGAAGAGAAGTTCGTCTTTATTTTACAAAATGCAAATTAGTCTCACAGGACACATGCTATAAGGTACTAACTAAAACACAATTTTATCACCAAGATTTTTGGATCTTATGTAAAAGAATAAACTTTAAGTACTAAATTGTAAGAAAATTAAGTTTAGGCACCTAAATGCTATTTTCAAAAAACGGTATTCATTGATGTGAGATTGTGAGCCCATTCACTGGCTCTATCTGGACTAATACAACCCTACCAATACGAACCAAACAGGGCCAAAGGATAACATGGCCCAGCCGGGTCAAGTTGGATCATTGACCCTACAAACAAGTAACGACTTCCGTTAACAAAGATGGACAAAGACTAACAGATAATTATTCAAAAAAAAAAAAAAACTAACAGATCGTGATCAAATTTAAATTAATTTACTAAATCTATTGAATTCAAATAAAATTAAATAATTTTGATGACCAAACATAAACATTTTTGGTAATTTCAATAACCAATTCACCTTTTTTTCCCCTGCTCCGTTAAATCAAAAGAAGGGGCTTAAAGCCCAGAAGATCGTCACTTCGTTAGCAAAAAAACCTAGGAAACAAGGCTGTCTGTCCATGTTCCAGTAGTCCTCTATGGAGCAGATTAGTGGGCTACTAAATGGGCCACAGAGTTAGTTAATCTAAGCCCAAAGTCCTAGTCCTTTACCCGCATTGGAGATCCCCGGCCGAAATTCCTCCCTGACCGTGGCCGACCATTTCGCAGATCCGGCTGCGGCCAAGCTGCTCGGTGAAATCTCTATCCTTCTTCAATTTCCGACCAGAGCCCGGCAATCCGTCCCGGGCACCAATGTCCTGTCTTTTCTGCTTCCTTTCTACTCACAAGTAAAGCTCTCGAGCCTCAGCCTCAGCCTCAGTCTCCTCCACCCTACATCGCCCTCATTCTCGTCCGACAAATTCCATAATAAGGTCCGTTCCTAGCTCTGATAACTAGACCCACACCATGTTCACCGATCAGTCCGGCATCAGTATTTGGTTTGGGGGAAAAACCCCTCCGGCGTCGGGTTTTCACTTCACCGGAGTCTCAGTTTGGACAAAACCCCTTACCCCTAAAACCCTCCAAGCCGCTAATTGTACAGTTAGGAGCTTCATTGTCTAGTTTTGTAATGGAAAGTTGAAGGACGAAAAATAAGGAATGGGTAGTGAAATTGAAAGTAGTATGGAATGGAAGAGAAATCGAAGTCTTTGTTGGAGCAGCTTCAGGCGGAATGCTGATTTTTTTTTTGGAGAATTGTTTATAAGAACAGGAACCAGTTCACAGCCAGGTATGGCCTTATATCCTTATTGAGGTTGTTGATTTTGTGTTGTGTACTTTGCGGAATACGGAGATGTTAGGTGAGAAGGGATTTGAGGTTGTTGCAATCTGCTAAACTGGAAGAGCTTCTGGCTTCTTGCTCCCAAAACAATGCGGATGGGTTATGAAGTAATACCTCGCTAGCAGAGCTAATCCTTAATCATGCTATTCTTATAGGATTTTGAAAATTGTCTGACCATCTGTAATACCTTTATCAATTGGAATCCTTTTTATCACAAAAGGGTTTGTGTGATTGAAGCCTGATAGTGCAAAGTCTTGAAATTCATAGCTGTTTAACTACATGAATCAGTACTCAGTAGTATTGGTACTATATCTTAAAACTATCACTAATTGGACAGGGCTTGAAGTGGAGACAAAGCGACTCCGGAGTACCCAACTTTTAGGAGAGACTTCTGGGAGCTGCACGCTTACTGTTACAGGTGATGTGTTGAATTCTTGTTCTGGGATGGACCGTATCAAGTTCCGTAAGCACAGATTTTATGTTATGGATTCAACTCTGAATCGGATTAGGTAATTTTTGTTTGTGTTAGCGCCAATTTTGAAGGCAGCTGCGCATCCTGTTTGGCTGGCTAGGATATAACTAAGTTTTCCATTCTTGTCTTGTTTTCATGGTTTGATGATTATTATTCTGTCACTTGAAGATTTGAAGTGGATGCAGTAGCCTCTGATGCGGTAGCTGACTCTAATTGCTTGTATCGTGCTTCTATGAATCACACTGGCATTTCATTAACTACTTATTATTATTGAGTTCCATCTTGAATCGCTGTTTGCTGGAAAATGAGCATCCTTTCATCTATTAGCATTGTCCTCTTCTATTCTATTGGCATCCTTGACTCCTCCTCAGGGAGGTTTGTATTCTGCTTGCACGCTCTTTCTTCATGGAGTTTTCTTTGGCACTGCTTGCACGCCTTAGAGTCTTGCTTCAGCAGGAGCAGGTAAGTTCTTACTTATTCCATGTCCAGAAATGTAATGAGAATCTATAACACATTTACTGTTGACTGCTAAAATGTATAATACACTGATATGGTTTCCTTCGTAGATATTAGTGGATGTTGTTCCTTTGTCCAATACGATACCAGAATAAGCAGCCTGTCAAAATAAATCAGAAAGGAATAGAGGTTGGCAGCCGTGTCTGTGTTTTACTCGCTTTCGTGGTAAAATAACAAATCTGAGTCATTGGCGTCTTACTGAATCCTGCTTTTTCTTCTCCACTTCTCCAGGTATTCCGAGAGTACTGTCCGACAAACAAGAAATTTGACTACTGGTCATCAACTAAACTTCCAAGCAGTAACAGACTTGACGGGCGTACCCTTCCACCCAACAATCAAGCTCTTCCCATCCATCCACACCGAACAAGGGCTCCAACACGGCACGCTCTGAGCCATGAGCTCTGCTTGGTACATGGACGAATGACTCAACTGCGCTTCCACCATCCCAAACCGCCGAAAGAAAGCCCTCCATATATCCACCTTCATACTCCTGATCATCCAGGCTCTCCCCTGCCCTAGTGTATCACTTATCGTCCCCATCATCACCATCTTGCTCACCCCTCCCAATGTCTCCTCTCCAAACTTCCTCCACGCCTCCTCGCTCCCCATACATTCCCCCATGGAATCGAACAGCACGCTGGCGAAGAACAGCGACTCCACGAACCAGTTCACAAAAACCGGCGAGTTCCTGCTCCCTTCCATCTCCGTCACCACCATGATGCACGGCTGCACCCTCCGGATCACTTTGATCACCGAGTCCAGCCTCTCCGCGGGACTTGTCAGCGTTCTTACAACATCATCCGCCAGAACAGCCACCGTCTCGGCCGAATCGAACTGCAACTGGTCCTGCCTCAGCTCTGCCAGGTCACGGACCATGATCACGTAAAAGCTGCAGACCAAGTTCATGCTATGCGCAAAAGTCACCAGCCTTCTCCCTGTCTGCTCGATCAACTCCCTTTCCATCGTCGCCACGGCGGTTATCTTCAGGTGCTCCACACGGTCTCTTCTCCGGGTCGCCAGTGCCTGCATCAGGATCGTCCATTGATGTCCTGTCCTGATCGCCAAATCGAGGATGTGGATCCTTCTAGCGCCCTCCACGTGTTCCACAATCGTCTGGATCCCAGCAAACTGTGCTACCTGGAAGAAAGGAAGTCTCCTCTGAAACTCAACCAACCTGACGCTTGGGTTCATTGCAACTCTGAACAGATTGGACGACTGCTCTTTCGCTTTCCACATGTCCCCGGCCCCAATTCGACCAGTTTCTCGGTCGACCCGGTGTTGCAGGCTTCGAGAGTAGTAGAACACTAGCCGTTGGATTGGGTTTCCCGTTGGGGAAGCCCGACCGTCGCATTGCCTGAGCAGTGCCCTGGCGTCGTCGAAACGACGGTCTCCCACTTTCTCTACAGCTTCCAGGAGAAGCTCGGCGAGCTCCACGCTCTCGGATTGCTCTTCCGAGAGAGGAGCGTCCACTGTGGCCGTCACGACGTCAAACGGCATGTCTTTGGAGTGGGACTGGATGAATTTTAGTGCCGCGATCCTCATAAGATCTTCACTGGACAGTGGCGCCGGCGCTGGTGGATCCGGGTTGTCAACTGTTTCCTCGGTTTCGTGACTTTCGGGGAAGGTTGAGGTTGGCAATTGAGCTTCGTTGGCGCGGTGATCGTCCTGCTGCTTGAAGGGAGGGAAAGGGATGACTTCGATCCCTCCGGCGAACATGTCAAGATTTTCCATCACTCGGAATTTGATCCTTTGTGTGTGTCTGTGTTGACGGATGCAAATAGGGACACAAGGCTAGGTGAGCTGGGAGATGGTTTTATATGTATACGCAGCTCTGGATTTAGTGAGAAATAATGGACAGCCGGAGGAATTGTGCTGTTTTCACTGGCGGACAATCGCTACCGGAGGAACTATGTAAAAGTTAAAGGAATGGAGTTAGAACTGATGGACGATGGGTGGATTCAGGTTGGATCGCCGGCGGCATTATTAATATAATTCCTAATGATCGGTCAATAGCATCAGTCGTTTCCTCCCCCTCGTTTGGCAGTACTACCGCACTAAATACGAAAGTAAAACTTGGGGTGACCAAAGTGGCCGTGATCCGCCGAATGTGGCCGAATTAAAAATGCACTTAATGCCGGTTAACGGTTAATTGGATATTAAAGTTAACGGATTGGTTATTATTTTTGTTTAGGCCTGATTCGCATCAGGCGGTTTAGTGAGGCTTCATTGACTTCGAGCGGTCCTTCGTAGGTGAGAGGCGATCCTTGAAGTCCTGCAAGAAAGGTCCACAGGAGGTTTCCTGGGACCTCCTCCGATGCCAAAGTTACAGAGAGAAGTGAGTGAGGAATAAATAAGAGAGAGATTGTAGTTGATAGGAGTTACCATAAATGTGGCCTTCCCGTTGGTATTTATACTAGTCTCGGCTCGGCCGTGGGCATTTAATGCGTTGTCGGGCGGTCTAGGACGCCTCTGGCTTCGCTAACGTCTTTCTGTCAGACTCTGTACCGCGAAGCCAGAGTGTCGGACGGTCCTTGACCGTCGTCCCCTTCGGATGTCGGGCGGTCCCGCAGCATGGGTCAAGGGAACCGCCTTCGCCCACTGTCCTTGATTTGGGCCTTACTCGTTCTTACATGGGCCCTCAATGCTCCTTGGGCTCACGGGCTGCGTGTCTTCCTTCTAGGCCCAATATTTGCCCCTTAGGCGGGGGAAGCTTTAGGTTTTCGCGTCTAATTGACCCGCTTTGTGAACCCTGAGCGGGTTCTGACCGTGATGCCCATAGAGCCATGCCAAGGCGTCCTTTAACCGCTCGTCACATGGCTGCCCCTTTGCCCCTGGTCGTGAAGACACAAAGCGACGGGCGCCTATGGGGTGACCCGGGCGGCGTTCTTTTCGTTGTTGGTTGCCACGTGTCGTTCCTCGGGTGCGGAGCCCTGACACCGAGAGGCAAAACGTCACCTCTGCGTCTCGGGTCTTGGGCTGTGTCGCTTCGGGATTTTGTACTTCCCTCTTTTTCGCTTTAAATGTATGCGAAGGAGATTTTTCTCCGCCAAAATTCTTCCTAGATTTAGAAACCGTTCGTCTTCTTCGTTCTTTTCGCTGAGAGTGCTCAGAACTCGCCACCGTCGGCCCCTATAAATTTCAATTGACCCGGCAGGTATGATTTTCAACCTCTTCTTTGTTGGGCGGTGTGGGTTTCTTTCTCGTTCCGAGTTATTCTTTACTGGGTTGCGCTTTGTGCACGGCTTCCTCATTCCCCTGCTTGAATTGCGCCGTCCTCGGCGACTGTCGACATCGTCCCTGTTGAAGATGTCCGGCGGAGCACCACCCTCATCTTCCGGCGTCGACGCGAGTGGCGCTGCCGCTTTCGGGAGTTCTCCCGCCGCCGAATCCCCTCCGGTGGTTGTTCTCGACAGGTAGCCCTCAAGCTCCGTCGTGCCTTCGGCGATCCCGCCAATGGGGAAGAAACCCACGAGTGCTGCCGCGACCGCTTTCGCATCCCAAGGTACGACCCTCTTTTTACCCGTTCAAAACCCATCTGAGTGTGTGTGGGACTTGTCTGGGTTAGAATTATACGTTGGAAATGGTTCTGAATTAGACGATTGTTTAGTCGAAGATTTTATTGGCTTGGATAACTATTGTGCTAACACATGCCCTGTACCAGTTGGGGTTATGGCCACGTCTTCCGCTGTGGGGGATTATCTGGGTGAGTTTGAGCGAGTAGGGTTAGATAGTATTTCTTTGGAAGAGGATGTCGAGGTAAGCAGCGATGCGGTTCGCTCGGAGGCGTCCTCTAGCACCTCTTCTTCATTGGAGGTTTCGGAGTCAAGGGGGCCTAGACCGCTTCCGGTGGCGATTCAGGATGCAGTATACACCGTCTTGCGTCATGCGGGTATGTGGGAAGGAGAACCAATCCCTTTGGAGGTGTTTGAGCAGGGACCAAAGAATTCGGGGGCGGCCTTTAGGCCAGAGCAGGTGTTGCATCGTTTGAAGACGCTGCGTATGCCCCCTGAGTGGCAGTATGCGGCTCCTTCTGAGACGAGCCGCTCGGGGTCCTGCCCCAGCGGTTGGATCCTGATTCTGGTAGAGCACGTCAAGCTTGGGCTAAGGTTCCTGCTCGACCCGATTTTGACAAGGACTTTACATTGGCTCAACTGTACTCTGAGGCGGTTCTCTCCGACGATCATATTTCACTCGGTAATGTATCGTCTGGCGTGTGACCGCATCAAGGAAGACCCTTCTTTTGATGCTTTCAGACTGATCTATAACATCCGAGATTCGACCAACTGTTGGTCGATCAGCAGGCGGGAGAATTCGGTGGGATTTGTCACCGGGGCGCCCAAGTTGGACTCTCCCTGGTACAAAGAGTACTTTTTCGCCAAACCGTCTTGGAAGTGGTATGCCGGTGATGCCGAGCCGCTCACGGGTTATGCGGTTGGCTCGAAAGATGACTAGTGCGAGTCTAACCAATTTCCTCAGTCTGTGATAGATCATGTGGACCGCATTGTGGAGGCGGCTCAACTGCGGGTCAAGCACAACGGTTCTGAGAGCGCATATCAGCTTGTGCGCAGTTTTTACGGTTAGTAGTGTACTTTTTTAGCTTCGCTGCTTATCATTCTCATGTATTTCACTTATGCTTTCTTTCTCCAGGTCTGAGGCAGTTGGCGGACGCGAATAGGCCACGAAGGAAGAAAGTGGTCAAGACCGCTCGGGGAGGTGGTACATCCTCGCCTGCCGCGGCCGCCGCCTCTGATCAGCCGGCGGTTTCCAGGTCCGCCGAAACGCCGATCCACCCAACGCGACTGGTGGTGTGTCCATCTCTGTGCCGTGGGGGACAGGGAAGAGGCTCATGCTGCCGGAGACTGCCGAAACTGCGCCAAAGCGCGCCAAGGTTCGTGCCTCCCCTTCGAAGGTGGATGACAGGCGTGGGAAGTCCGCGAAGCGATCGGATAAGCCAAGCCTTGTGGAGGTTCCCCCGTTGGCGGCGACGGATACTAAAGCGGCCGAACTCGCCTTCCACTCCATTAGCGATCAGCTGGTGATGCCCAACGAGTATACTGCTTCCTCTCAGGGGAGCAACCGCCGACTGGCTCGGACCGCCTCGCAACTCTTCTTCGGGGTTAGTATTTTGCAATAGTGTTGATCTTGTTCATGCTATGCTCTTTTGTTAACCGATTCTCTATTCTCCTTGTAGGCACAAATTGGGTTTCCCCAAATCATATTGCTTAACGACCGCCTATCAAAGACCGTTGATGATAACGCGGTCGAGATAGCCAACCTCAAGAAGAGTGTGGAGGAAGGAAGGGCGGCCTTGATGGAGGAACTGCGTCCTCAAATGGAGAAGGGCTTCGAGGAGCGGTTAGCCCAAAAGGACAGGCCTTGTTGGATGAGAGGGAGGCTTCCAAGGCGATCCACGAAGAGAGGGACCGCCTTCAAGACTCGTTGTCGAAGTCTCGCGAAATTGAGAAGATGCTGCTGGAGGAGCAGGACGCCTTGCGCAAGGAGGTGGATGAGCTGAAGTTGGAGAAAGCGTCCTTATGTGTGACTCACGAGGCTGAGGTGACCGCCACCCGAGCTGAAGCCGGGCCCGCTTACCTGAAGTCCGCCGAGTTCATCGCTCAAGACAAGGCAAAGTATAAGGTCGTTGTTGGCAACCTAGTGGCCGCCATACGCCACTTATTTCGCGAGGATTGCCCCGACATTGGCTGGGATGCAGACCGTGTATGGGACGCGGTCGGTCACTGGTCTTCGTCGGACGTGAATTCGGAGGCGGATGAATCTGAGGAGGAGGAAGCGGGGTGTGACGAGGAAGGTGCTGAGGAAGGTGATGTGGCGAGTGGCGGGTCGCCTGGGATTTGACTCTATCTTGGTTCTTCTTTGTTCGCATTAGATTTCAACTTTCGGGGAGGTTTGAGTGCTTAAGACAATTTTCCTTTATGGATTTGCATCGTTGTGTGAACATGTTTTTCTTGCCGCATAGCGGCGGATTTTGCTTTCTTTGTTGGAGAAATGATGCAATTAGACCGCGTTGGAGCGGGTTTATGTTCATGAGTATTTTGATTACTAGGTGGGCGTAGGGTCTCGGAGCGACCGAGGGCGCCTTTGATTGCTTTTCCCCCCCACTTTTCGGAGTAGCGACCCTTGTATTATTTCGGGTAATTGTGTAACTTGGTTGGCAAAGATGCTTGCCGATTATTCTTAAGGATTGCCTGCTGTGAGGGTGTCCCTGCGGTGGTGCGGGTTTTGTGTAAAAGATGCACGAAGATTCGAAAATTTAACCACAAGCATAATTGTACTAAAGCAAAAGCGGTCATTTGGAAGCAACCGATACATTGTTAAAAGTGGAAGGAGTGTTCCTTGGCCACTGGAATAACTTTGCGCAAAAGGGGGGTCGCTAGATAGCAACCATTACGCGATTACTTGTGGTGGGAGATTTCCCGTGCCACCAAAATGTCCTTGCAGTAGTATGAAATGTTCTAAATTGCACCCGAGTAGTATTT